GGTTGTATATTAAATCTAATTCTACGTGAATTATCATTATTAATCATAGGAAAAGAAAAAAAAATATGCGCCACTTAGTTTAGAGTTAGTTTGTCCGCTATTGGAGGATGTAAGGGCATCCACAATAGAGTTCAAAAGTGGTCATTCATATGCAATATAATATTTCATTCAACTAGCTAGTAACATTGTGGAACTAGTCCATAGCAAAGAAATAACAAAAGCTAACCATAAGCATATGGGCTGCCCATAGAGCATAAAATATATTATTTGTCTCTATTTCTTCTCTCCTCCTAATACTATTTGCTATCTGTATACATTGGGAATGTTACAATAGTTAAAGTCTATATATGTGGGTCCCATCTATATGGACTACTTTTGCTATATACATTGTTGTTGCCCTGAGGAGGTTTTGAGGTGAAAACAAAGGTGGTTTTGGTCTCTAGGGGCAAATATGCATCACGTGAAAGTTTATAATTAAAGGTTAACCATGAGTTCAACAGTTCAAGTTTGAAAATTGCATATTTTTCCTTTGTATAGTTGTTGACGTGAAAAACATACGCTGGCTTGGGAGATCTGCTTAGCTCTAGTGCAGGTCCAAATCTTGGTGAGGTGCAGGCGTGCTAGTCAGTTTGATCCTGCAACTGACAAGGTATGAAAATAGTAGATCAAATTGTCGATCGGCTGACAAGCCGATAGAGTAGTTCTAGCCGATGTCGATATTAGCCGATAGCGATAGGGTTTTGAGCTATCGGTTATGTGTTTGATGTAGAATCTGACACTTGATATAAATAAAGGCGATCGACTGATAATGATATAATATAACAATAATAATATCCAGTAGAAACCAGTTGGCTAGCAATAATATGATAGAATGAGCACTGATCCGAAGGTTAAAGCATACATCAGCTGGAGGTCCGATGCCATAAAATCCACGAGATTAGATTAAACAGTAAAGCCTTTGTTATTATCGGCTAAATCCAACTTATATGCAATCCTTGTAAGCCAATGCAACGTCCAGATAATTCATCGGCTGAAACCCCGAGGAAACCCTTATTGGCAGTCAACAAGCAGGCTAGAGATTATGGTTCTAAGCACAACTTGGTAGATCAAACTTAACTGATGCATCACTAATTATGAAAAGAAACATAATATCTAGACAATCGAGCCCTTGACTAATTTTCAGGGTGATAGATGCCTTAGCTAATCTAATCTAGTAAAACAATTTAGCCGATACCGACGGAAACCCTAAAGCGAGAGACAACTGATAGAGTTCCGCCTAAAGCGAGAGACAACCGATATAGCTAAATTGAGATACTAAGACTAGATTAACTAAGACATATGATAAATAACCAGGCAAATATATCAACCAAACCAGAGTAATCCAAGAGGTCGAATGTACTGATGTAGCCTTGAACAACACCGACGTAGATACGATTGCCTGGGCCGGTGGAATATTGGATTTACCCCTTCGCCGGAGATCAAAACCGATGCAGCCCAGCGTCAGGTGCTAAGTCCTGTCGGACGATAAAATAAAGTAGAAAAGACAAAAGGTGGCGATGCGCCGAATTGTATTGATCGTGAGAGAGATCTTACAATGACCCCGGGTGTACATATTTATACCCATGGGGAGATACAGTCCTTGTAGTACAAGAAAGAAACTTTCCTAAAGATAAAAGGAATACATAAAGTCCTTATAGGACACTAAACATATTTTCCTAGAGATAAAAGGAAACTAATAAACTATTATTAATTAATAGATAACTTGTCATGCCGTATCCTCCTTGATAAGCTTTGTTTAATAGATTAATTTCCTTAACCGAATATAGCAAGAATCCGACTATTGGCGATGTGATAATTCAAATTTCACTGTTGACAATAGTTTAAGGTGAAGATATTATCTCCTTCATATGCGACCATTTATTTTTCAGATGATTCGATCAGCATAGCTTTTTATCTTAGTACGTTACTAACAACTAGCATGGTGGTCCGCGCAGATTGCGCGGCTAGCATCATTATATTTTCTCTTATATAATAGCATATATGTTTTCTCATTATATTATTAAAATATATTACAATGACGACATAATTTTAAATTTTGCAATGACTTTTCAAAACTACTAATGTGTAATAACTACTCTAGTCTCCTCTTCTAATATTCCTTATTTTTTAATTCTGAATTTCAGCTATTTCTAAATTGTATTTCTATATGGACTCTGCTCTTTTCTTTTTCTCTGATTAATGTGAGAATTTCTAAGCCATGAGAGCGAACGTGGAGGCTCCTTTTTATTCCGAATTTTAGTTGGTTTTAAATTTCAATATGAACTCTACTCTACTTCTAATATTCCTTATTTTTTAATTCCAAATTTCTATTTTTTTCTTAATTGTATTTCTATATAGACTCTATACTCTACTTCTAATATTTCTTATTTTTAATTCTGACTTTCGGTTATTTCCTAATTGTATTTCTATATGCTATTATACAATTCGGCTTACCTTACTAAAAGGAAGTGCCCAGTTTTACTCGGTCTAAAAGTGTAATTTGGTGCTTCAGGTGAAAAATCTTTCTGTTGTGTCGCACCTGTGTAGTTTCGTGGCTCTCTGTTTCTCGTCCACAACAACCGTCACGCTGATCCGAGAGAAAGGTGGCGCTGTGCTAGCTTTTGATCACACTCCAAAAAGCCCACCCTAAGGCGGCTACACATCGTGTGTGGCTCAGTGCCTAGCTTAGGCTTGAAAAGTGGCATCCACCCCCAAATCACCGATTCGCTATTACCTCGACACATCGATCAAACATGAAACACACTCCCATCGTGCATAGCAACATAGCATATACAAGATACAACATGCAAACCTGCACGTCGAGCTGCAGCCGTGCGTGCATAGCTGCTTACCGCTGGGTCGTATTCGTACATCTCGTGTAACCTACCGTTCAGTTACGCTTGGTTCGCCCCCCATGTGATATAGTGATATGTGCTGCGGAAAGGCGCCGCTGCCATGTGCGAAGTGGCTGCTTTTGGGCTCTCGCACCACTACAACAAAAAAGGGACTATACGTACTTCCGCAGCATGGAGGCTACTGAAAGGCGAGAAATTCTCTCGGCAAGCCGTCCTCGGCGAGAGCAAGATCGCATCGTCTTTCGAATATCTCACGGCTCATCACCAGTAGTCACCGGTGTTCCTTTCCGCATCTCGCACCGGTACAACACGTCGCAAATAAGATGAAGCCGAAATTGTTCGGCTAGGCTCAAGCCATATCGAACGAGCCCCACGTCGCAAATTTGGAGCGGCAACCCGGCAAGCGTTTCTGCGCGCTTTCTGTGAGGGGGAGAATGTGCGTCCTCTGGGCGTGTTTCCCGTCTCGGGTCGCGGCGGCCATGCACAGTTTTGCACACACGCCATGTAAAAGAGAAAAAAAGAACGGTGGTGAGGGAAGGGAAATGCCCAAGCGTGACCACCACTAGCATAAACGGGAAAAGCTGGTTGCCTGCACGCATGAGAGAACATGTAGGCTGTGGCAGCGTGACACATGTAGATGTAGCGAGAGAAACGCCGAAAGTATCTGTACCAGGATTGTTTCGTGTGGCTCCTGGCTCGGACATCTGTCCCTTGCTCGCAACCTTTTGCTACCAAAAAAAAGTGTTCCACTCTCTGGGTTGTGTTGTGGGTGCTACTACTAAGGATTATAGTGCCAATCGCATAAATCTTTCCCTGGAACCCTTGAGAGTTGGGTGTATGCTATTATGCTGCTCACTCACGAGACAAGTGAAATATTTAGAATGTATTTTTGTGTCTAATCAAGGCTTTAGTTCGTGGCATTCCTCTATGAGGAAGTTTCTTTTTAACAACCATAAATCAATGTTAGTCTAAATCTCGATTCTGAGATTTAAAACCGTGTACTATCAGCTTTTAACCATCTCAGTGGTTCTGAAGTTCATCCATTAGAAGGGCCATGTGTGATTTTTAGCTGGCGTCGTCACTTTTAGGGATTTGTTGGGAGTGTAGCGTGGTTTGGCCCATTCCCGCTACTCGGGGTCTGTTTCTAGCCGTCGTAGTTTCTCTAAGCTTCAACTTTTTTCATTTGCTTTTTCTCCCTCCCCCTAGCATAAGTTGGTCTGGCTGACTGTGTCGTATAAATAAAACTATTTTTCTTCTAATATATTAACGTGCAATCCTTTTACGCGTTCGCGAAAAAAAAACTTTTAATGTTCTAAGAGGCTGTTCATTTCAACCTTGTACCTATTTTAGAGTGGCTTTGAATGATACGTCACTAACGTGGCTACGTGGTCCGCTTGCAGTCTTGCACCAAGTGATGTAGGTTGCAGATCTGTCTTATGAAACTGGTTTTTTTTTATACAATTTTAAATTCAAAACTAGTTTTGTTCTGAGTAGGCTGAAATTGGATGGTTTAAAAGTTGAAATTAAATAGGAGTATATGGCTTCAAAGTTAAGGCTCGATTTCAAACTTCGTGGAATTTCAAGTTGTAAAATGGGCTTTTCCTTAATTTGTTTGACCTAGCACATTGGAGAAGTCGATGTATGCTGCTATTTTACTATTGCCTATAGCAAAACACAATTATACTATAGTAGTTCCCTGCGCAATTGCACCGGTGCTAATTGTATTGTATCTGAAATGTAGAACTTTCTCTTAGTTCTACCCTTGTGCTTATTTCTAAAAAGAAAATTGTATTTATGGTGCAGCAAGAGTAGAATAGCTTCATCTTTTCGTTTATGCTTATAATTATCAGCCAAAATTTAAATTTTTAAACTTAAATTTAAAGCTGATTTTAGGGTTTTTTCATTAAAGTTTATTTTTTTAGCCTTTACTTTTAGATCGCTAAAAAAATTTTATTTACAAATTACTTTCCGTTCGTAAATATGTCGTTTGGTTTATTCGGACAGAAGGTATTTCCGCTTAATTTGTTTGTGACTTGAGATATACAGTAGTACTATCGAAAGAGAGCATTATCAGTCCCACTTAAAACCCTCTTCCGCCAAAGTGTGGGAGCCCAAAGCAGAGGTCCTACTACTCTCATTTTCTCAAGTCTCAAGTGACTTATGCCTTTGTTTTTTTTCCCCGGAATTCCATCCATTTTTTCAAAGACCAAAAGTCGCCAAGCAACTGCCCGCGGGAGCTCTATATAAAGCAAGCAAACCAACCCCATCCTACACTACCTCACACGCCTCTCGCGCTGCTCAATCTCCCACACTGCTCGGCAGCTTAGCTAGCTCGCGGCTCGCTTGATCACGCCATTTTTCTTCGATTCGATCGATCTCCTGGTGTGCCAGCCATGGCGAGAATGCTCCTTGAGGCGGCCGCCTCCGGCTCGGTGGAGGACTCACTCAACTCGGACCTCGTCGTCATCCTCGCCGGGCTGCTCTGCGCGCTCATCTGCGTCCTCGGCCTCGGCCTCGTCGCCCGGTGCGCGTGCACGCGCCGCTGGGCGCGGGCCGCCGGCGGCGGGACAGCGGCTGGCGGCGGCGGCGGTGGCGCCGCCGCGGCGAACAAGGGCGTCAAGAAGGAGGTGCTGCGGTCGCTCCCGACCGTGACGTACGTCTCCGACGGCGGCGGCGGCGAGGCGGAGGAGTGCGCCATCTGCCTCGTGGAGTTCGAGGACGGGCAGGCCGTGCGCGTGCTGCCGCAGTGCGACCACCGCTTCCACGCCGCCTGCATCGACACGTGGCTGCGCGCGCACTCGTCGTGCCCGTCGTGCCGCCGCGTGCTCGTCGCCGCCGAGATGCCCCCCGGCGAGCGGTGCGGCCGCTGCGGCGCGCGCTCCGGCGGCCGCGGCATCGGCGCGCTGCTCTTGAATTACTGGAAGGCGCCGGCCTGCGACGCCGAGGGGCCAGAGTTGGCGTAGTGGCATGCGCACTAACTCTGCGTCTGTCTGGTCTTTAACCAAGATGGGAAAAAAAGAAGACATCATTAGACAGACATTAACCAGTGTGCAACCTCATTGGTTAATCTCTATTGATTTCTTTTCTTTCTTCCCTTTTCTTGGTTTTCATTTAGCCTTGTAGATTCCATTCTTTTTTAGGTTTTGCCTGTGAGTACCAGTGAGTAGTGTGACTAGCTAGCAATGGTGAGCATTTGGTAGCATCAGCTACCAGGATGTATGTAAGCACCGATTTGTTGGGGGGAAATGTGTGAAAAATTGCTGTAACTTATTTGCACATATATTGGAATTTTATACGCAGTTATCTTTAACTGCGATGTTGAATCCAAATTTGGTACTGCTGGTAACACTTTTGTTTTGGCCTGCAATGCTTCATGACTTCATGTGCAATTTTCATTTCGAAAAATGTCCATAACAATGAGCACATGGGACCATGAGACAATTTAGCAGTTATTTGTAAGATCTGTGCTTTTCACTTTTAGAAAAAGCCTTTGTGAAGATCCCTAGTTATTTCGGTTGCTCAAGTAGCCGAGTGTGTGTTTGTTCGAAATTAGTTGTGTGTTAAAATTACGTTGAGAAGTGCTACGGAAAGAAAATAATTACTATGTGCTTTCTTAGTTGATCTTCATAAAATTTGTCCAATTATTATAGCAGGATTACAGAATCACAGTTTTTTTTGAATATTTTTAAATTTAAAGTTCCAAAACTTTTTTTTTAAAAAAAACAAGCTTTTTGACCACACTACTAGAGGTAGCGTTGCAAGGCAACATTGACAACAGTAGTGTCATGCCATCGCGAGTAGCATGGAGAAATATTTGCCAGTCCATGATTTTTCACCGAGATGATAATGTTTTCTTGCCATGCTAATTAAATTGGTGTTGTAAATAGGTTCAGATCTAGAAATGAGCTTTCGATGGGTTTATTTTTAAAAATTAAATTTAGAAAGGTTTTAAAAAAATCCAGAATCGTGAGTGTTGTTATGGCCCACTAGGATACCTGGCCATTCTTGTAGGATCGAATTGAAAAAAAAAAGATTGCATAATAACGAGTAAACAAAATAATACACTTTTTAAGGGCAATAAGCAAAAAAGCATTTTCGGAGAGGCAGAGACAATGAAGACTTGAAGAGCCATGTTTCGACTCTTGCACTGTTGTTTACCACCTTTTGGAGGATCTTAAGGATAAGCATATGCCTTGACATGGAATGATTAATTAATACTCTCTTCGTACTCATAAAGGAAGTCGTTTAGGACAATGTTTAAGTCAAACCTTGGGAATATAAATCATGAATAACTCTCAAGTTGTTGAGTTTGAAAATGTAAAAATTATATGAATATATTTGTCTTAAAATATATTTTCATAAAAGTATACATATATTTTTTTCTCGAACGCGCAAAAGGATTGCACGTCAATATATTAGAAGAATAGAATGTTTGTCACACGACGCAATCAGTCAGACCGACTTATGCCAAGAAAGGAGGAAAAAAGACTAAAATAAAGAAGAGACGAAAAACTACTGTGACGGTTACACACAACTCCAAATAGCTGGAAGGGGACAGAGCCACTACCTTCCCAGGAGAACCCCAAAAATAGCTATACCAGCTAAAGACCAAAGGTGGCCCTCAGAGAGGATGGACTCAAGGAAAAGTATACATATATCACTTTTTAATAAATATTTTTATAGAAACAAGAAGTCAAAGTTATGTTTTGGAGATCGTGTCGCTGTCCAAAATGACTTCATTTATGAGTATGGAGAGAGTAACTTGTAACTGTGTTTAACATCAAATGTAGGGAGTAAGGTGGTGTTTGGATCCAAGGACTTAACTTTAGTCCCTTTATTTAGACACTAATTTAGAGTATTAAATATAGACTACTTACAAAACTAATTACATAAATGAAAGCTATTTCGCGAGACAAATTTTTTAAGCCTAATTAATCCATAATTAGAGAATGTTTACTGTAGCATCACATATGCTAATCATGGATTAATTAGGCTCAATAGATTTGTCTCGCGAATTAGTCCAAGATTATGGATGGGTTTTATTAATAGTCTACGTTTAATATTTATAATTAGTGTCCAAACATCCGATGTGATAGTTAGTCCCATCTAAACAGGTCCTAAGACTATGCCAAAGTGGAAACTGATGCAGAGGATGAGTCCCGCTCTGAGGCTCTATCAGCTCTTGGATCCGAAAGAGCCGGTCACTGGCGCACTCACAATTCCACATCCCCTCCAAGATTCATGATTGGTTGAAGCGGCCCGGCGAAACAAACGCATGTAAAATGAATTGCAAATACCTTGATTTCCTAATGCACATGTCAGTAGTTTAGTCGCTGAAAGAGCAAAGTGTCCCAGCAAGCAAAATACAAAATAGCCACACAATGACACAAACTCAAGCACTTGCAGCAGTAGTTTGGTCAACCAATATCTGAGCACCTTCTCCTGATCGTAAGTCAAATCAGTAATATTGTTTAATGCAAAAGATAAGATGAGAATGTGCACCTTCTGTATTATGGATTGGATAGATTTCCCGTTCACGAATTAGTGGCGTTGGTTAGGCTGCAGGTGAGGTGGGCTTCCCTGGCACCATGGCCAACCACAAGCTCACAAATCAAGCTCTTTCCTTTGCAATAAAATAGTTGAAATCTCTTTGTTTGATCGTCTCTTCATTGCACGCTGTTCTTGGCGCTTTTTCCAGCCGACCTCTTATCTGATAGTATAACCATAAAATACATCTCAGAGAATTCTAGTCTCTGTCTGATGGCATTAAGAATGAAATCTTGTTGCCTCCCCCAATACGGTCGGATGCTTCCTCGCACAAGGGGTAAAGTACATCCTGATAACGATCGAAATGGACAGGTGGAAAACGAAAGCAAAGGTAAGATCACACGTGGAAAATTTACTTTCAAGAAGATGACACCGGAAATCGGAATGGAAGCTTCACTGTCAGAGATGATTCGTGCAAATGCTTGCTGGGATTCTTCCTCCGGCTTAGTGCTGTGGCGCATCAAGTCAAGCTAGCTACACTAGGAAGCAAGTAGCAAGCCCTGAACCACTCACTCAACCGACTGAGCGACTGAAGGCTTTGACGTGAGCACTACCGATCGAGAAATTTGTTAACGATATCTCATATCTCCCTCCCTGATCCTGATGGAGATGGAACGCGCGTATTATTGAGGTCACGGAGGGAGACAAGTGCAGATGTTGCCGCGCTGGCCCCGGTTAACTATAAGCTGCGCTGCATGTGGAGTGGAGTCAACCGGGGGGGGGGGGGGGGGGGGGGGGGCGATCCGCTGATAGGGGCGTGTTGAGCTGCACCGCGTATTTTTCAACCAAAGTGCACACGAGTGGCGACGGGGTCCGATGGCCAAGTTGGACGGTGGACGCAGCCGGGGTCAACGTACGCCGCGGGCGCCATTTGCGTGTATGTTGTGTGCAGTGGATGGATGGATGCGTGGGCGCGCCGCGCGCGTGTGGAGCAGTGGGAGAGAGAGAGAGGGACGCTCGCGGCGTTCGTGGCGGTTGGCGCGACTGCTGAGGAGGGCGCATTACCGGTGGGTGTTCGTTGGCGACGACGCTGAAACGAGAGGGGATGATGCATTGGTGGAGTTTGTTCGGTTTGTCCACAGATTGTGGCATATATGAGCCAGAAACCCGGGGGCGGACGAGACGACTGTGCGTTGGGCCCTTGACCCCTGTGGCCATGCCATGATTTGCAAGTTGCAGCCGCAAGCCAGCCCGTCCACTACGGGGCGAGCCGGCGAGCTTACTCAGGCTACCGCATCAAGGCATTCAGGCACGCGTCCGTTGGCGTTGATAGCTAGCTCCAGCATCCCCACGTCTCGACGTCGACGAGATTGGGGGACAGCGGCGGCGCGCGTGCGGTACATATTGGTAGTACATCACCGTGCACTGATCCATCTCTCATCTGCCTCGGCCGGCCGGCCGACTGACCACCACGTCGTAATCCGGTAATCCCTTCTTTCTCATCTCTTCCTCAAGTCGAGCCGTTGCACGCTAATTAAAGAAGCTTCGATGGGCCTGCGTGGAGCAATCTGAATTCTGAAAGCACGCAGGCCGGCATCGTGCACAGCAACAACTCAGCAACAGGGCAACAGCAAGTCCCTCCGGGATCCCGAGTTTTCGTCTCTTAAGGGCCCCTTTGATTTGTAGGAAAAATGTAGGAATTTTGGAGGATTTCAATCCTATGGAAAAAAATCCTATGAAGGCCTTTGAGACAAAGGATTGAATCCTATCCAATCCTTTAAAATTCCTATGGAATGAGTAATCCTATGCACATTTTGGAGGAAAGTTAGCAAGAGGTCTAACCTCTTGGAACATTTCCTCTGAGTCTATCTCTCTCATCTGATTCCTGCGTTTTTCCTGTGGTCCAATCAAACGGCCATTCCTGTGTTTTTCCTGTGTTTTGCAATCCTCTGTTTTACAATTGTATTCCTGTCAGAATCCTGTGTTTTTCCTATTCCTCTGTTTTTTCATTCCTACGATTCAAAGGGGCCCTAAACGTTTATTTAAGGGTTTAGGCTGTGTTTAGTTCAACACAAAGTTTAGATTTTGGTTGAAATTGAAGATGATGTGACTGAAAAGTTGTGTGTGTATGACATGTTGATGTGATGAAAAAGTACTGAAGTTTGGATCCAAACTTTGAGTCTAAACACAGCCTTAGAGCATTACCAACGATTCCACTGAATCTTAAATCTAAAAAATATTTTTAAGGAACTTTTGCTAATGCTCACAGTCGTAGGCGTAATTAATGTATAGATGTTACATGTCTAATTCATACACCACACCACAAGCATTTCGTTGTTGATGAGTATGTTACCTATCACTAAAAAAATTAGTCATAAATACGAATACCCATGTTAAGTTTAAAACTTGAACTCGCATAGATAAGGATCCTGATTAGTTAAAGCGACACTCACTTTCTGATACGATCCTTCCTTACGTACCGTGAGGCCACCGTTCCTTCGACCGGTACTGCCTCTCGGGCCGATGTCATGCCAGGCTGCCTTGGTCTGGGCCTCTCGGCCCATAACATGTGTACATGTGCCGTGTTGTGCGTTTTATCGTGTAGGAAAGAAGAGGAAACTCAGGTGTTCTTCATGTAATAAGAAAAACACAGAGGAAACTCAGGTGTGACGAACTGCAGAAATTAGGCCCTGTGGCAACGTATATGAACATTGTAGCCTAGTTTGCGCATGGCATGGGCACTTTCCCACCCCGTGCATTTCGTAGAAATAACAGGAGCAGTTGAATTAGATGAACAATTAGAATTCCCTGAACCTGAAACACATACCGACTGTTGAATTAGATGAACAATTAGAATCCCCTGAACCTGAAACACATACCCACACCTACAAGGCTACAACTGACAGCGTACAAAAATTGCAGGCAGTGTCCGTATAGAGCATGGAGATTGAAGAAGTTTCAAAGCTGCACTGTGGACGTTCAGACTTCATAGTGCACCAGGTGCGTCTCATCTCATGCTTATATTCAAGCTGTTTCTCATTGTTCTCCTCCCAACACCCATATTGCCCTTTGTCATCATGGCAACGAATTCCCCGTAGTCAATGCGACCATCCTGATGAAAAGGAGTGAAATAAGTGCAATTAGATCACTGCTACATAAAAGATATTTTCTTCTAAGCGCAGTAACTAGTAAACCATATCAATAGACATTCAACCACGAACATTTGGACGATATGTATTGAAGAAACAACACAAACAGCAATGGGTTCAGCAATTCACATGTTCTACAAAATGAATGTTCAAGTTTCGTACACCACAGTATATCACTAGGAAAGCATAACCTGACATGTCATGTCCTGCAGATATATCCCTAGTGATTCCCATGAAATTATTACTACCTCCATTTCACCACATATATCCAATCTGTTAGGAAAATCAAGACCATATGTATTTTCTATATTTCCACTATCTACCCCAACTTTAATGTTGTGGAAGAGGTCAATTGGTTGTAATATTCAGTTGATATGTGAGGTATGGCTATATCTCGTTAATTTTTCTTAGATTTAGTGCTGCTTTTGTTTTTATGTATGGTTAAATTGTTTTTTTTTTGTGAAACAGTACTAATGCAGTTTTGTTCCATGACAAGCTTTGACAAGTGAAATCTTTTAAAGTTCCTTAAACAGATTATTAATAAAGAGTAAAGTGCATAGGCGGTCCTTAAACTTGTAAGGTTGTGTCATCTAGGTCCCCAAACTCTCAAAATGCACATCTAGGTCCCAGAACTTGTCAAAGTGTATCATTTAGGTCCCAAATCGACATAGCCCCTATAGAATCCTATGTGACGCTGATATGGCATGCCATATGGACGTGATATGTCCTTTTCTTCTTTCTCCCTTCTTTTTTCTTCGTTTTCTTCTCATTCTTCTTTTTTTTCCTTTCTTCTACTCGGGAAAAGAAAAAAAAAGGAGAAGAAAGAAAAAAAAGAGGAGGAAAAGATAAGAAAAGAAGAAAAAGATAAATGGGTTTCATTTGTTAGTCAAAATGATGCCACGTCTTGTCCGTGTGGCATGCCACATCAGTGCCACGTAAGATCCTATAGGGGCTAGGGCGATTTGGGACCTAAATGACACACTATGACAAGTTCTTGGACTTGTATGTATTTTGAGAGTTTAGGGACCTAGATGACACACCCCTGCAAGTTTAAGGACCGCCCGTGCACTTTACTCATTAATAAATATTTGTATATCCTTCCTGCATGTGTTAGCTATAACAAACTAATGGGGCAACATGCTTACATTATCCTGATCAGCTTCTTTAATGACGTCATCGAGAAAAGCATCTGGCATGTTATGCTCTTTGCAAGCTTGCTGAAGCTCATCCACCGTAATATAACCACTGCCATCTTTGTCGAAATAAGAAAAGGCTGCCACTAGATGTTCCTCTCGCTCTAGTTTATTGAGATGCAGAGTAGCAGCAATGAATTCTATATAATCAATGGTTCCACTGTTGTCCACATCCGCCTAAAGTTATTCAAACAAAAATAAATATGTAAGCCCACAGTTCAGTTTTCCAAGGAATAATAAACTCTACACCATAAAACATACACCCGTTACATAAGGGAGACTGTAAATTAAAACAACAGGGGCACACAAAAATAAAAAACCGAGATGAAGTTATAAGCATTTACTGCCACATAAGCATATGCTCACTGAAATAAAAATAACCTTTCTGTGTTTGTCCTGTTTTTGTTCGCCCCTAGTTAGTTGAGTGAAAGCTTTCTTTGTAAACCTTGTTTACTTCTTCTTAATGCACAGTACAGATATGTAAACCTTTTGAGTATTCACAAAAATTGAAAATAAGTTCTAGCTGAAGAAAGCCTAAAAAAAAATGTTTTCTTGTGGTTTGGAAATGAAATCACATGGCAATCAGAGAAGACAAAAATATGACTCAACTTCAAATAATCGGTGAAATACAGTAGATTAGTTTAATAGAGATAGTTTGTCTAATTTCACTCACACGGTCACACAGACAACAGTTCTGCCTAAGATGCAAACCATATACTAGACACTAAGGAGACACATCCATGGCATTCAGTTTCTGCAATCAATGATGTTTTAATTCAATGAAGAAAAAGCATGGGTCACTGATCATAAAACTTGGCTTTTGTGTACATGTGCAACAGTGCAAGGAACCAGGTGGCAGACTTTCAGTGCTCTTTCTGTTCAGAAAGAAGCAATCTGGATCATAAAATATCTAAAAACATGCAGGAAGGATCCTTAAGCTAGCAATCATAAATGTTAATTTTAATAGATTTCACCAACTTACCGCCTCCATAAGATCACGAATCTCAGTATCCTTTAGTGTTGAGCCATATTTTCTCATGCCTTCTTTGAGTTCATCATATGTAATTGCACCACTATTATCTGTGTCCATTGCCTTGAACATTTCCTTCAATCCTGCAATCTCCTCCTCTGAAAGGCTTTCAGCAATTACCTGGCAGGACAAACCGTCAGTCAGCATAAAACTTAGCAAATGTGCCCCCATAAGTACTGGTCATGTAATAGAGTATAAAAACTAGCCCACAAAAGAAAATTCAGATAATAAAGACAGGAAGCAATTCTGAAAAAAAAAACAATCAAAAGGAACAAGACAAGGTAACGGACACTCTAGCCAGCAAACAACAATGGAGGATGACTTCAAATTGCTTGTGAAAGGTGAAGTACTATGATAGCTACCACAGTAACTTTAGAATTGCCAAAAGGAAAAGAATGTACTCACTCGCAAAGCCATCTTCTTTAACTTATTCATTGCTGAAAACTGCTTAATGCGAGAAAGTACAGCAGGATCAAGAGGTCGATCAGGAGCGACTCCATGGTCACAAATCCACGGATGACCTGGTCAGGTATGAAAATAATTCTTTAACATCTTTGTCCAACAGCTGTGCATAAGTAGTTACCATATACTGTTACAAAACTAAATATTTGCACCATAGAGGGCACATTTCAGAACAATACACACACCAAAACATACTGAGTTATTGAAGAAAAGAACTAGAGTAATGGTGAAAATAACTAACATAAAACTTCATGAGCTGTTAGGCGCTCCTTGGGGCGAGGATTCAACATTCTTCTTATAAGATCCTTTGCACTATCAGAAATCACAGGCCAGGGATCGGAATCAAAATCAATTACACCTTTTAACACTGCATCAAATATCCCTTGCTGCGTCTCTGCATTAAATATAGTACAGGTCAGCTTAGACGAGTGAAAACACAAGGTTTGAATTTCCAAGTCAATTTATGATAATAAAGGAGTAAATATATACCTGCCCAAAATGGCGGTACACCACTTAATAGTATGTAAAGAATCACACCAGCTGTCCAAACATCAGCTTCTGGTCCGTAGCATTTACGCAACACTTCTGGGGCCACGTAGTATGGGCTTCCAACAACATCAGTAAAAACTTGACCTAAGAATAGTAAACAACAAACGGAATTTCTTTATAAGATAACTAATTACACTGAAAAATTAATACAGTAAATGCTGCATAAGATGCACATAAATGGTAAATAGATTTATAGAAGAGAGATTCATAGGAAGTGGATTTCGCGATAGATGGTACTTTTAGCTATATGTAAAGTAGCTTCTATTAGTTGCAATGAAACAGTTAGTTTTAGCCCTTTTAGAAGTGGTCAAATCAGTATATCGGTGAATAACATATATTTAGATTCAAATAAGTGTACAAAGACAGGTTCGATTTTGATTGTTCCTATTGCTGTAGTCTGTACAGCAAAGCACCAAACAATCAATTTCTTCTTCTTTTCTTTTTATTATTCATCCACCAGCAGCAGGAAACAATTCAGAAATCGATCTTCACATATTTGTCCCATAATTAATTTATCTTTTTTGAAAAACTGTAAGTTTAACTATTTTTCTTTAGTATTCATAAACTTTTTAAATGAATGCAAAAACCCATATTTTGCTAGCAATCTCATTTACGAACAACAATTGTACCCAAAAAAGAGAGAACCCCAGACCAAGAGCAGCCTTCACCATCTGATGCGTAAATGTTAACATCTAATTATCAGATTGGATCAGTATATGTTGAGTCCCAATGAATGAATGAAATGATTTTAAACGACTAAACTATATTCCTATTCTCTATTCTCAAATCTTAATTTCCATACATTCTCTAGTCAGATGAGCTAAAGCAACTATGTATCATTAATTCCACCAACCAAACCATTCCATCTATTGGACTATTACCATCAACGATTGCTCAGAAAGTGATGGAGCAAGCGCAACAGTCACAGAAATAAATAATTGAGTTTCTAACAGCAGGGGTGACTCACCAGGCTTGAAGAACACAGACAAGCCGAAATCGATGGCCTTGAGCGACAAATCGTCGTCTTTATTCGCCAGCAAGAAGTTCTCGGGCTTGAGATCCCTATGGATAACCCCGAGCGAGTGGCACGCCTCGATGACACCAACGATGATTCGCGTGAGCTCGGCCGCTTTGCGCTCGCTGAATTGCCCGCGCTCGATGATGCGGTCGAACAGCTCGCCCCCGGCGCAGAGCTCCATCACAATGTGAACGTACTGCGGGTCCTCGTAGGCGCCCTTGATGGCGACGACGTTCCGGTGGCCCGCGAGGTGGTGCATGATCTGGATCTCGCGGCGGACGTCCTCGACGTCCTCCTTGGTGATGAGCTTCCGCTTGGCTATGGACTTGCAGGCGTAGTCCACCCCGGTGGCGAGGTCGGTGCAGAGGTAGGTGGTGCCGAACTGCCCCTGCCCGAGCTTGCGCCCGAGCGCGTAGTGCTCGCTCAGGCTCGGGGTCGGGTGCCCGAGCACGTTGGCCGTCAGCTCCGCGGGCGCGGGCGCCCCGCGCTTCATGGACGCGGCGTGCGGCGCGTCCGCCGCCGCCGCAGAACCGCGCGGGGCCTTCTTCCCGGCCGGCTCATCGGCGGCGGCGGCGGCGGCGGCGCTGGTGGCGACGGGCGCGTACCCCGCCTCATCATGCCGCTGCGACGCGCCGCGGAAGCTGGCGAAGTACTTGGATCTAAGCGTGACGCCGCACGTGTTCCCCATCACGCGCTGATGATGCGCGCCGCCGTCCACGCGGCCTCCTCTCGCATCTACCCTAAAGCCTCGCCGCGGGGTTTAGGTAGCGCGCGGCGCGGCGAGGCGAGCAATGGAGGGAGTTGGAAACTTGGAATCGGAAGCGGACGGAAGCAGCAGTGGGGATTGGGAAAGAGAGGGGGGAGGTGGATTGGATGAGGAGGAGGAGGCTTCACGACGGGTTCGCGTCCACGTTTGCGGAAAGCGAGGGGAAGGCCGCTGCTGCCGTCGCGGGACATACATGCAGGCTGCAGCCAGCGTCGCTCTGGCGCCGCGACTCTGCTGCTCCTGCTGGGAAGGCAGGACTCCGATAGATTTACTCCTGCCACTGCCACTGCCCCCACACTGGCTATAGCAACCGGGATGGTCCTGCTGATTCTTCGGATCCTGCCTTTTCCTTCCTTCATTATTCGTTTGGTTAATGCTTGATAGTTTTATTAGTAGTAGTACAGTTCTCCAGTATTTTGCTGCCTGCGTGCATTGCATACATTAACATTCACATCCTGAATACTGTACGTACGTACTCTATCAGATAAGGGTCTATGGAAGCTGGTACACTGACGAGTCACGACAGAAGAAGACGTTGAAAATACATGCCAGCGCGTCGTCGGTGAGAACAAGACGGGTTCGTGCAAGGGGAGAGAAAGGGACCACCGAATGGTCCGCGGGCAACGTGCGGCGGCGGGGGATCAGGGGCGTTCGTGTGGGTGGTGGCACCCCAAGTTGCAGTAGAAACGCTTGATGCTTCCCTTCCCCCAAGGCGGTCTCTTTTCTGTAACCAATCGTTCGAAGGTCTCGGCAGGTTACAGCTAGATAGCCGTGCCTACCCGCAAAGCGGAGTGCAGATGACTGCACGGGTAGAGTTGAGAGCAAGTTTAATAGTATAGCCCACTACTAGCTCCAATTCATCTCTAGCCAATTTAATAGTTAATTCATACAATAGTTGCTTACTATACTATTAATACTCGGTCCCACCTGTCATACACACATTACGTCTTAGAGTCCGTGCTGCAGCTGGCTACATATTTGTAGCCCGCTGCTCTTCTCTCTCATCCTTTATCTCATTAAAATATGTTTACAGCTGGCTAATAGCTTGCTATTGTACCTGCTCTGAGTCGGATAAAAGAGGGCTACACAAGCTGCCTTATCAAATTTGTACTTGTGTGGAAGATAGACAAGAGAAGAGAGATAAAAAAACCGGTTACAGATTTGTAAAAAAACCGGCTACAGATTTGTAGTCAGTTACAGCACGAGCTCTAATAAACTATTTGAGAGAGATGGGTGGAGCATTAATGATACAATATATTTCTACAGCTAACTATTATATGAGTGAGTTATTAGATTGACGGTAGATGATGGTTTAAATTTTGGAGCTGGTAGGGTCCTATATTATTAAACTTTCTCTAATCGGATGAGATCTAATCGGATGAGATGAATGAAAAGAAGAAGAAAATGCGTTTGGGTAGGATTGGTGCCATATCGTCTGATTCACAATCATTACGACTACAAAAGCAAATCGGGACTATTCGTGCGCGAAATCATGTGATGAGGACCGAATCATCCGGTTGAAAGGATCTGGAATAAGTTCATCTAAGGTCCCTTAACTTGTCAACGAATTCGATTTTCGGCCTTCAACTGCAAAACCAGATACAACGGGTCCCTCAACTATTAAAACCGGTGCAGATTAGGTCCCTGGCGGTTTCGATGGTGGTTTTGGCCTACGTGGCTAATTTTGACTTGGTCTCAATCTGACGTGGCACTGATGTGGCGCTTACGTGGCAATTCGATCTGAGAAAATAATAAACCCCATAGGACCCACATGTCAGTTTCACAAAAAAAATAGCAATAATAGTGGGACCAACGCGGGCCCGCCATGTCAGTCTAACTCACCCCCTCCTCTTCTGCTTCCTCTCTCTCCTTCTCCCCTCTCTTCATCTCTCTCTTGCGGCCGGCGACGACGACGGCGGCGGAAATGGAGAAGAGTGGCCGCCGGCCATCTCTCTCTTGTGCGCGCTCGCCGGTAGGCCAGGGAGCTCGCCTAGCTCCTTCCCACCGGCGGGAGAGGAGGGAGCAGCGCGCCGGGGCATAGGCGTGACGCGCCGGGCGGCGCTTTGAGGCGGAAGTATACGCTGATGACGTGGCCGTCGGAGGTGAAAAAGGTCGTCATAGACTCACGGTATTGGCGGTGTCGTCGGCAGCGGCGGAGCAGGAGTTGTAGTTGGAGTCCTCATCGTCGACCTCGAGTTCGTCAATGTGCTCGAGCATTACCCACCGTTGTTAGCTGCTGGCGGCCGAAGGTAACGCCGCCATCTCCTGTTGGGTTTCCATGGGCCGCGGCGAGCGGATCGATGGGTTCCTCGTCAGTCCGGCCGGAACGGTGTTTTCTTGCCCAAAACAATGATCATTCATTCATTCATCAATCCCGTCGTACCACAAGCAAATGATGATGACGAAGCAAAATATACTCCAGTCAGCTAGTACTAGTTGCTATTGCTTCTACCTTTGTATGATTAGGCACATAAACAAAATTAAGACCAAACAGAACGCAAACTAAGCAACTCCATGGACGCGCCGTGCAGCATCCTCGGTGGAATGCACAGCACCGTGCCCTCCTCCACCGCGACGTCGTTAGGAGAAGAGCCGGAGATTGGACGACGAGGGTTGGACTAAGGAGGAGGAGGAGGAGGAGGACGACACGCGGGATTTGCCGAGCGCGAGCCGACGGAAGAGAGGAGCGGAAGAGAAAGAAGTCGAAGCGGGAGAACGCGGAGCGGAGGTCATCGGCTCTGGCGCCCCAGCCGAGGCCGTGGATGAAGAGCTTCCTGCTCGCGGGATCGGCCTCCGCCGCGCGCTGCACGGTCGTAATCGTCGCTGGGGTCGTCTTCGCGGCTGGTCGCCTCTCCCCTCTCCCGCCGGCGAGGTGGCCCCCTCACCCACCCGCGCGGACGGCCGCCTCCGAGGATGCGCGCGTGTGTCGGCCGGTCGGCGAGACACGTTCATCCCGCCGCCGAGGATGCTGAGGTCGACGTCGACGTCGTCCGCAGCCACGGCCGCGGCGGCGCCGCCGGGCTGGTTCCCTTCTCCCCGCTAGTTTCCCTCCCGCCAGCCGCCGCGTCGCGCCCCTTCTCCCCGCCGGCCACCGCCCTCTCCCCGCCGCCTGTCAACCGAAGAGAAGAGAGAGAGGAGAGGGGAGAGAGATGAAGACAGAGAAGATGAGGAAGAGGAGAATCAGAATGACCCAGCGCAAGAGAGAGATGAAGAGAGGGGAGAAGGAGAGAGATGAAGCAGAAGAGGAGGGGATGAGTTAGACTGACATCTGGGGCCCATGTGGGTCCCACCATTATTATTATTATTATTGTGTGTGAAACTGAAATATGGATCCCACGGGGTTATTATTTTCCGAATTGAATTGCCACGTAAGCGCCACGTCAGATCAAGACCAAGTCAAAATTAGCCACGTAGACGCCACATCAGCCAAAACCACCATCGAAACCGCTGAAGGACCTAATTTGCACCGGTTTTGATAGTTGAGGGACCCCTTGTATCTGGTTTTGCGGTTGAAGGACGAAAATCGGATTCGTTATCAAAGTTAAGGCACCTTAGATGAACTTATTCCAAAGGATCCCCTCTCCCCGTTGCAAGGCAAGAAAAGGGTTCATAGGGCACAATCTGCTCATGTTCTCCCTGGGCCTCGCGCTATGGCCCATACGGCATGATTGCCCATCTTAAGCTGATAAGCTCTCACCCAAACTGTGAGAGCTTAGTTGACCCTAATCCATTTTACTAGCAAACCTACATTCATTGGCTTGAAGCGCAACCACGTGATCATGCGATGAGTCCTAGCGCGACTTCGTCTGTTCACGAGAAGGATTAATTCCTAATTCAAACACAATCGTGCGGTAAACGTAGATAAGTACTCAAAAACCATGTCCCACAAAGAGGAGGTCGAGTCGACGTTCACAGAAAGGAGTACTCCAATCGCCTAGCACAGTGCGAAGTGATCTCGGAAATCGACCTGTGACTGTTCACCCGTGGTTTCCACGACTCGCACGAGCTAAAAGCTCACAGTAATCACCGTTGCAGATAAGCTTCAGATTAAGAGCAGGTATAATAGCAGGCTATAAGCTAGCTACAAACATATTTTAAAAAGATAAATAAGGAGAGAGAAGAGTAGCGGGCTACAGATTTGTAGCCAGCTGTAGCACGGACTCTAAGACGCAGTGTGTATATGACAGGTGGGACCAGATATTAATAGTGTAGTATATAACTATTGTATGAATAAGCTATTAGATTGGCTATAGATGAATTGAAGTTAGTAGTCGGCTGTATTATTGAACTTGCTGTCGCGCGATAGTGCGATCTGACTCGGCTCGCGGATCCCATCCGCCTCCCGACACACCACTAGCTCCACCACCCACCGTTCCGTATCACGCGAACGCGAAGTAATCAGCGAGAGGCTGCCGCTGAAGCGAGCGGTGGTCGGTGGACATCAGCGGCCGCGCTTTTTTGGTCGCGCGTGGCCGTGGACGGATGAGGTTTATTATGCCATCGCGTCGCGGCGTATACGTGTAGCTTGTCGCGGCGAGCGTTTGGCCGACGCGCAACGCAACAATCCTGTGCTGCTTGTTCCGGTTCCTTCCCAACCCTTTTGCAAGAACACATCCCGGTCGTGGTCACGGTCTCACGGACCTTTTCCTGGGACCTTTTTTGCACTTTTCTTCGGTTGCCATCTTCGTAAATAACCTCAACGACAGGGGTATCACTCAAAACTATAGTACGGGTCCCCCGCTTTCTCTTCGTCTTCCCCGCGCTGACCGAGCTTCGCGATCTAAAAGTCAAAAACCAATTTAGCCGATAATTCGGCTAGTCATTCCATAATAAGCCCAATTCTTGCACTAAATTGGGGCAATCTGCTCTTTGTTTTCGGCTGGTCTCGGGGGATGTGTGGTGGTGATTAACCCCGGAACCCCCCCCCAATTCCCAGATTTAATTTCACTTGCAATCTGTGATTCTTCTGGTGAGGTGCAAGTGCAACGACAGGTATAATTGAACTACAAATCGTTCTATTTTTCGATTTCTAGAAATTAAATTTGGGATAGTCCTCCAGAAACCTAATCCTTTTTGTCACTTAGGGTGTTCAAGTTTGTTCTTGGGCGTTCTTGGTCCTTTGGGGTTCCAAAGGCGACTTCTTTCGAGAGGAGGGAAAGAAGGGAAATGAGGGATGTTCTCGTGGTTGTTGAGGATTGCGTCCGCGTGCTTGGGCCCGGCCCGGAGGTACGCGCGTACGAGGAAGGATGAAGATGGCGGCGATAATGGCGGCGGCGTCGCCGACGGCCTGCTGTGGTCGCGGGACCTGGGGCGTCACGCGGCGGGTGAGTTCTCCTTTGCCGTCGTGCAGGCCAACGAGGCGTTGGAAGACCATAGCCAGGTCGAGACGGGCTCCGCCGCCACCTTCGTCGGCGTCTACGACGGCCACGGCGGTGCCGATGCTGCTCGCTTCATATCTGATCACCTCTTCGCACACCTGATACGTAAGTAGTCGCTTCCTTATACTGTTCTTCTTGCAATAGAATCCACTCCAGTTCATTAATCGCAACTCTTCATGGCTTAGTTTAGTTTCAACTTGTAGGTGGTGATGAATGAATTTTGTGTGGTTTTACTCTTTAGTTGCTTCATGATGCACCTGTTGGCTATGCACTGAGCAGTAGCATTTCCTTTATTAGTTTTTTGGTTCTGTAATTATTCTGAATCATTGGAGTTACCTTTGTTGATTGCTCTTTGCTGGATGCAATTCTTGTTGGTATACATTCCACTCATCGAGTATGCTGTTGTTTCATGAGCAGTGCAATGGACAACGCAATGCTCTTACCAGTGACTGAGTGGAATCTGATCATTGGACAAGCTATCAATATTCTTGGTCCTTTGCAATAACAGATTACTAGTAGGTACTGTAGTTTCTTGTCGTGTTCAACATCTTAATGTTGTCTTTTACTTACAGACTGACTTGATTTACGTGAGATGCTACTGAGTAAGTGTATCCACTGACTGCATGATGTGACCTTATCCTTGTCGTTAATAAATGGCAAGCATATCTCAACCGAAATTGTTCAGTGCACCAAAATGACTGCTCAACCTTTCCTATCTTTCTAGGACTTGCCCGAGAAAGTGAAACAGTATCGGAGGAAGTTGTTCGAGGGGCATTTTCTGCTACCGAAGAAGGTTTCTTGACACTTGTTCGGAGAACGCAGTTTTTAAAGCCTATGATAGCTGCAGTTGGATCTTGTTGTCTTGTTGGTATCATATGGAGAGGGGTACTATATGTGGCTAATTTAGGTGATTCTAGGGCAGTTGTTGGCTATTTGGGTAGAACAAACAAGATTACTGCTGAGCAAATTACAAGGGATCATAATGCTTGTAAGGAGGAAGTGAGGCAGGAACTTATTTCTCGTCATCCCGATGATTCACAAATTGTTGTTCTGAAGCATGGCGTTTGGCGCATAAAAGGCATAATCCAGGTTGGTAAGCAACAGTTATTGAGTAACTATTACAACTATAATATGGTTTCAAGGATGGTTGTGATTGTATATTAATTTGGTAATGATTGGACCATATTCACTTGTTACACAACAACCCATTAGAGGAGCCAAGTAAAGGGGTAGAGGGCAACAAATCATAGAAATTAAAGTTTGTGCTTTAGAAGGATTTTGTGTTTCTTGTAGTTTACAAGAGATTATGAAGGTGATCATGTTATTTATTTTGGTAGTAAGAGAACAAGAAATACTGCCGTGTCATTTAGATTCCCCAATGATGGCCCAAACATGTTGAGCAGTACATTATCAAGATTTTCCGCATATGCAAACTAGGTACTTGATGTAAAACTATTGTCACATTTTGTGATTACTTACCAGGTTTCAAGGACTATAGGTGATGCATATTTAAAGAGGCGTGAATTTGCTCTTGATCCATCCATAACTCGCTTCCGCCTTTCTGAGCCTCTTCGCCGACCTGTTCTAACAGCAGAGCCATCTATCTGCACAAGAGTTCTTTCTCTGCAAGATCAATTTGTTATTTTTGCATCCGATGGTCTTTGGGAGCACTTAACAAACCAACAAGCTGTTGACATCGTCTACAAAAATCCACGAGCAGTATGTCTTCAGACCTTTACTTACATGTGTCGTTGCTTGTTTTTCTTTGTTTGTGGGACTATCCCGCAATGCCTAGGCTGATTACTTGGAAAGGTGCTAAATCTAATTTCCATAATTTTGGTAGGGAATTGCAAAGAGGCTAGTAAACACAGCTTTGAAAGAAGCTGCACGGAAGCGAGAAATGAGGTTTGTTGATCTTAAGAAAGTCGAAAAAGGGGTGCGGCGCTTCTTCCATGACGACATTACAGTCGTCGTTGTTTACATCGACCATGAGTTACTTCAGGAGAAAAATGTTTCTGTTCCTGAACTTTCAGTCCGTGGGTTTGTCGACTCAGTAGGTCCCTCGAGAATTTCAGGATTCGATGCTATTTCATGATATGGTGACCTAGCAGCTCAGGTTTTGTGCCCTGCATTGCAGTAGCATCAGAGTTTTACGCTAGAGCAAGCATTGCTTTCAACTTGGTTTTTGTTTTGTACATTTACCTATTTCAGGTACTAAAAAGTTGGTTTCATGCTTGCAATATGCTCGGAATAATCACAACATGCTGTTTTTCTTCTACGTACTACATCACAACAGATGGATACTGATGTGAAAATTCCCAATTTTTGGTAATCTGAGCAAAACAAAAAATATATTTTTTTATGTAAACACTGAGGTATTGGATTTTTATTCGTAAGCAGGACAACGTAATTCCGCAGCGTCCCATTAAAACAATTGGACGCCACCGATCTAGAGCGTCCGGCCTTCTCACGGACGCGATGTTCTCATTGCGTCCATAGCCCACGGGCCAAAGGGCTCTGAAAACAGTATCCCTGTTCTTCTGCATCCTATCACCGTAAAATCCCCAATCTGAAAACCCACGAGTAAACCAGCGGCCACAAACCTTAACGGCGTGGCGACGGCGGTACCCATCCCGTTATTTCTCTTGATCGAGCCTTAAGGTATCAAGCTTGCCGTCGTCGTCAGTTCTAAGTACGCACCCACGCGACTAGCTCTCAGCCATCAGGTTAGTCGTCTTACACATGATGAGCTCTTTTGGTTTTTTCGTTGGAGACTAAATCGTTGTGCGGCATTCTCTTTCTTTAGTGATACATTATAGTGCTGCTGCATTAAGCATTAGTTGTTAATTTTTGTGCTTATCTTTATAAGACAATGACAGATTAGTTATTAGCAAATAGCAACATGCATCCTAGCTTCCTAACAAGCTTTGTAAGCTAGTTTATCTGCTTATCCCAGTTCTGTCAACATAACAATGCGACTATAAGGAAACAAAAGTGTGCAAATAATCTAGAAATTAGTTTTACTTTTGATCAATCATCTTACGATGCTTGTTTATAAGTTCCTGAAAAAGAAATCAGTTGTACGTTGTTTGACATGCTTCCTTAATTTTTTGTATGCTACAAACTAGTAAGATGAGGACTAATCAAGATGGGTTAGGTCGGTTAGTTACAATAAGTGATGAGGAGATAGGCTTACTGGATGGAGATCAAACTTTAGTTCAGCAAACTGAACTAAATGTTTCAGAACGTATCAGTGCCTTACTATGGATGCCTCATTGCCAGCACAAAATCTCAAAAGTTTGGGAAAATGTAAGCTATTGCTAGCTTCTGTCATATACCTTTCCAAAAAAAATGATTGGACTAATTTGTATCCTACGTATGCAGGCTAATGATGGTGTTAGTGTCAGGTATCACCACGTGGGCATTCTATACCATTATTTATGTGAACCACTACTGAAGAGACTTGGATTCTATCAAGTTTCCCAGATGGTTGGGATGAGTGTTGATAGATTTCTAATTGGAGCATTAGTAGAGAGATGGCGGCCTGAGACTAACACATTTCACTTACCAGTTGAAGAGATGACAGTTAGCCTACAAGATGTGAGTTGTCTATGGGGCTTACCAATTCAAGGTGAGCCTATTATAGGCAAGTTAGAGGGGCCATGGGTTGATGAAATTGAGACATTACTAGGAGTTACTCCAGGAAAACAAGTGATGAAGCAAAAAAAGCGAAAGGCGGACGGTGACTTGGAAAGCGGGGGAAATATGACATCTTCTAACTACTCCATCAGCTTAAAGAAATTACGAGATCAGTTCAAGGAGATGCCAGAAAATGCAACAAAAGAACAAATTGAACATTACACTAGGGCATTCATTTTGGATATTCTTGGGTCAATGATTTTCCCGGATACATCAGGAGATGGAGTGCCTGCAATGTACCTGCAATTCCTTCAGGATCTTGATAAACCAAAGGAGTACAACTGGGGGGCAACAACTCTTGCCGTGCTATATAGACAATTAAGCTTCGGTGCAGAACGAGAGAGATTGGAGATGGCTGGTCCATTAGTGCTTCTGCAGCATTGGTGTTGGTCGCGGTTGAGACCAGGACGACCAGTGGATCAAGATAGGAACCCTATTAGTTGGGGAGAGCCAGACCCTGAGAGTTGTCCTACATTTGGAGCAAAATGGTGTGGCCAGGAACTTTATCCTCTGCCACATAACTCGGGTGTTGCGTTTTATCAGAACTTGCTGGATCAAGTTCAAGACAATGAGGTCTCTTGGGAACCATATAATGGACTATTGATGTCCATGCCAAGAAGAGTTAGAGCTGAACGTGCTTTCTGGTATAGTCGAGTACCTCTCATCCATTTTTGGATCATTGAATTTCATTATCCAGATAGAGTGATGAGACAACTAGGGAGAAAGCAAACCATTCCACCTCCTCCCCCACATGATGAGAGCAAGCTTCGTCAACTCCATAAAATAAATCATACAGGGAAACCACGTGATTGGAGGAAGCTCCACGCAGAATATGTTAACCAATACAATAGAATTTGGCAAAGCATGGTTGATGAGGAGCAACATTTTGACCAGGCAAGTTTGCCACAATATCGTCATTGGTTTCAACAGTATGGGATGTACACTGTTTTTTTGGATGCTCGGTCCGCTCAAGGTTTGTGGGATCCCATCCCTTATCCACTGGATAACTTCGATTGGACCGGTTACATGCCCAGTGGTCCACCTCTCTCCCGATTGGTATACTAACATTTCTTTACTTGTTCTTTTTTACTTGCAATAATTCACTTAATAACACTTCTTTTTTCTTAAAATGCTAATTTAGGCTCTACGTTCTATCAAACAAGTTGCGTGGAGAATTAAATGTGCTATGAGTAGAGGATGGAGAAAGATGGGCAAGATTCTTATCTGTACATGTTACAATAACGTCCAGGATATCAATATGGAGGCTAAGTTAAGCAGCATGCTAAGCGAGTCAGGTCTACCTTTATGTGTAGATGACATTCGATCTGATGATAGTGCATCACCATTTTCTACCCCTAAACCAATTAAACCTGAGGAGATAAACATGGATGTGATGGATGACTGGTTGTACTCAAACAGGGGATTTACAAGATACCTTAGTTTAGGTACAGATTCTGATGTGCTGGAATCTCAGGATAAACATTGAGCATAGATCAGGGCAAAGAGCTTTTTGTTACTCCTGCTGTTAGACAATGTTATTATTTGGTTTATCAAAGCTTGTGATTTTCTTTGTTTATCTGTAAGTTCTATAAATTAGAATCTATTTTTTTACATACATATGGTTTAACCTGTATCTTGTATTTCCTGTTCAACGTATCAAAAAAAAAAAACCTCCTGCCATTTCCATTCAAATCACATTGAGCGAAATAAGACAAGCAGTGTTGTCCTTGTCAAGATACAAAAATAACAACTAATTGTCAATAGGGAACTTTAAAAATATCAAGCTTGTTACATGAGAATGAAGTCCTTACTCACAGAAAACTAAATCCAAATTTTATAATATAAGCTAGAAGTAGATTTGCTAGATAAATTTCTAGGGCGATGCAGCGGAGTCCATCCTATGGATTGTATCACCCTTGATGTTGGTGAGATGGCACACCTGCAGTGTTAATTCTATATTAGTAGGAAGCATAGATATATCATACAATAATTAAATTATGACAGACCGGCTTGATTTTTATCTTGGGTTGAACGACGTGCTTGATGTCCTAAGCGTCGACCTTGCATTTCATCCATATACATTGGAATTCGGTTATGTCTTCGTCGACCCAACTGTATCAACCTAGCATCAGGCTCAATAATTGGACCATTATAAGTTGGCCACTCCGATTGATTTCCATATGGGTGAAACTGACCAGCCCAAGTGTTTGCGAGTGTTGTAGAAGAGTAGTAAGGATGGATAAACTGATTCTCATTAAGGTTTCTATCTTTTCAAACAGCAAGCACATGAGCACAAGGAATACTAGTAAGGTTGGGCTTTTGGCACTCACATGTCGGAATAGCATTGTTGCGCATAACTAGCTTATACTTGAAATCCCTTCGAACATACACAACACGATCTCCTTGATGCAATGCAACTCGTTCACGGTCAACCTTCACCTCATATTCTCCTCTTTCATCACCATATGATATAACATGCATGGATCCGGCCTTGGCCCCTCGTTTCACTAATAACTTCTCAACCCGTCGAGACCACATTTTCCCTGAGTTTGCAAGATCAAGAGAAGATCTTCTTCTATCAATAAACCATTCTAAGCACTTGTTAAATGTTTCCTCCACTATTGCCATGACTGGTAATCTCCTTGAGTACTTGAACACATTATTTAGAGACTCGGAGCCATTACTTGTCATTATCCCCCATCGATGTCCACCATCCATGCACTGGAAAACCTTTTTAGATTTTTCCGGCTCATTCTTATCTTCTTGCCGATATTTTCCCACCTTACCAAGATAAGCAATTGCATCTGGACAAGTTTTTGAAATAGCTTCCATACCTTCATTGAATCTACGTGGTTTCTTCTTCTTGACAACCCAATTAAAAGTTTTTACCACATCATCATCTTTACATTGCTTGTAAAGATTCTCAGCAATATGTTGTGAACAAAATCGATGCACACACTCACCAGCACTTTCATTCCATCCAATATGTGGCTGCTTGAACACCCATTTGATAGCTTTGTGGCGATCAGAAATAACACACACAAATTTACCAAAACCAATAACCTCTTTCCGCAACCATCTCATGAACCATCCCCAATTGTCACTGTCTTCCTTCTCCACTATTGCAAATGCAAGAGGTAATAATTTGTTTTCAGCATCATATCCACATGCTATCAACAACCTACCTCGGTACCTTCCAGACAAAAAAGAAGCATCTATATTAATGACAGGTCGAAGATAAGGTACTGCTTCAATACAAGGTCCAAAAGCCCAAGCCACGCACTTGAATGCTCGATGCCCTTCACGAGTCATCGGTTGTGACAAAATTTGATATCTTGTTCCAGGATTAGTTGCTTTAATAGCCTCCAATAATGGAGTGAGCAATGCATATGATCCTTCCCAACTTCCAAAAAGTTGAGCAATTGCTAACTCCCGGCCACGCCATAACTTGTTGTAGTGTGGCTTTACATTTTTATACCGTTGCCGAACTAATTGCCGTATGTTCATTATGCTCAACTCCAAGTTCTCTTTTAAGTCATCACGTATAACATCTGCAATAACTGCAGATGTCAATTGTGCACGATCAAGTCGATCAGCGGGAGCTCGACATGTGTGAGGATAGGGGCAAGTTTGTATCTTCCAACTTGAACCAATTTTTGTTGGTTTCCCATATAGCTTCCACAAGCAAGTATTGTCTATGCACTTCATACTTAGTCTTGACTTGTTACTTGTGGTAACCTTTACTTCTTGATTGGTACTAATGTGAAATTCATTAATAGCAAACTGCAAATGCTCCTTGGAATCAAAAGTTCGGCCTTTAGCTAATGGACTGTTAAAATGTTTCCTCGAACCAAAGAATCTCTCATCGGCCGTTGTATTCTGTAGCACAGATATATCATGGAAGGCACTTACAGGGTGCTTGTCAGACCTGCCCACGAGTGGCAACGATTTGATCAATTTGACCACAGGCTGACCATAGGTGTTATCATTCACATCCTCTTCGGCTTCGCCATCGCTCTCATCTTCCTCAATCATATCACCCTCACGTTCTGTCTCTTCGTCCACATAGCCATCATCTTGAGAATTTTCTTGCGCTTCATTTATGATATTATCAGAAGACAAGCCCACAATTGGTGCAGAATTACTCACATCATGAATTTTAGGAGATATACCATGCTTAGGCGACTGATGTGATGCTGACACAATATTCTCAGCAACTGTAGCCATAGTTGGTTCTAGGTTTTCTCTTATTATTTCACTAACAATGTGGTTTTGGCTGAATCCACTATTTGTTGGAGTGAACTCAACATATAATTCCACCATACGCCAACTGTTTAGTGCTAATGTCATGTCAAAAATCATTTGCCATGATCTGGTCTTATATAATGGGATCAACTGGAAAAAATGTGGACTTGGTGCTCCTACATCATATCGGCCTTGTATAACAAGTGAATATTCAGTTTCAGAATATTTTAGCCCTCCATAAATCTCATTCTTTACATCTTCGAAAGTTGTAGCTTCGGAAGCAGGAAAAGTAATCTTGGGTGGAATGCTATACTCTGCACCAGTCGCTCCATATACAATTTCACCTCCAGTGTATACAAGAACAATTATCATGGTCTGATGACCTAATAGTAATAAAGAAAAGAAAAATATATATCAATTTCCATATTCGATTTATTCATGATCAGAATATTTAGTATATACATGGCACAGAGCACTACTAACGTGGAGCACATAGCTAATGATGATATAATCATTTCATGCAGTAATTTACTCATACTTTCGATTAGCAGTGCCGCAACCTTTCCATGATAGAAGAATAAAATGATACAACAGATCTGCTAGTTTTTTTTACGGGGAAAAAACTGATATATTACTCAGCTACAGCCTCATTCACAAAATGTGAGATGAGATTACAAGAACCATCTGGCCAGAACTCGGAGAGATATGCTACTTGACTAGTACTAATGTCTAATCAATTCCAAACAACGAAAAGTAAACATACCTTGCAAATAATCTTACTCGTGATCTCTGCTTAAACTCTAATCTCATCTGATATAAGACTAGGGCATGACTTCTGCAGTAAGGGAAGGTTAGGGATAGAAAGAAAGACACTAACCAATGCGTAGATCTGTATTTCTTTTCTATGTTGCGGGCGTGCAGTTGCTCGGCGGAGGCCGCTGTTAAGTTTTGGCGTCCAAGTTCTGTCCAGGAACGCAGTAAAAACCTTGCGTCCAAATTAGTCGCTGCCAAATGACAGCGTCCCTATCAAACAGATGGACGCTTCTTGAATCAGAACGTCCTGCTTATTAATAGAATTAGATGGCTGTGGTGCTTACATAAAAAAATATATTTCTTATTTTGCTCAGAATTAAAAAAATCGGTGAAAATTCTGTGTGCACTTTTGAATGGTTGGAACTGGTTGCTTTGGCAGAATCACCTGGCTACAAGTCATTAGTGAGTAGTGACTCGCCATTTTATTTCGATGATCCCTGTGCAACCTGCGTCGTCTTTTAAATCTTCAGTGAGTAAAGTTATAAACATTTACGGTCTCTGATTGTATGTTAGTAAGCTCTTTGGTTGCTTGCCACAGAATATGTTTTTCTTATCTATTATCGTCGTGTGTATCTTTTTTCCGGAAATTTTGTCATCTATGTAGGTCGGTCAAGACTCAAGTGGGCAGCAAAGCACTACTTAGAAATTGGAATTTTGTGATGCTTGACTATTACCTGTATCTGGAGTATTTTTTTAGGCTTGTGATGCCGGTGTCCAACTGTGCAAGCGGTGCTGGTAGCGAACTAGTACCAATGTCATTTGGACTGCTGGACTCGTGGTGATCTGGGCTAACGCCCGGCCGCTCTGTACATTTGGAGCTGGAATAAGTTCATTTTAAATCCCTTATCTTGTCTCCGAGTTTGAAATGTCGTCCTTGAAATCGTAATACTGGATATAACGAGTCTCTCAACTTGCAAAACCGGTGTACCCAATATCTCAAACAGCGCATATTACCATCTCCCCTCTCCTCTCTCGTTCCCACCCAATTCACCCAATTCCGCAGCTTCAGTCGAACCGCCGTCACCATCACACTACCACACTATACCATCCAAGTTATGTACGCCAACGCCTTATGGTCGTTCGTGCCGTGCCCCCTCCAAGAGTAGTGCTCCGTCGTCGCCTTCATCGTATCCCCCAAGTTGTTGATGGCAGCCACCTCCATGATACCGCGGATGTTGAGCATCAACGCCATCATGGTGACCTCCCTGAATGGCATGACGAAGAAGAACCTCACGTGGAATAGGAGATGGACGAGGGAAGGTTGGAGGAAGAAGAACTAGACATGACATATGGGGTTCACTCGTAATGTCAGCCAAAACCGGATAGTACACTAGTTTTGCAAGTTGAGGGACGTGTTATATCTAGTATTGTGGTTGGAGGACGAAATTTGAACGCGACGTTAAGATGAGGGACCCCCAATGAACTTATTCGTTTGGAGCGAGACAAGTTTGTTCCGGGCCTGGAAAATCACCTTCCTTTTGTATTCGGCCAA